TGTTGATGTTAAATTTGAATGAATATGATTAATATCAATATTTGAATGAATGTGATAGATATTTGTTGATGTTATATTTGAATGAATGTGATTAATATAAATATTTCTATGTGAATAATAATTTTATTTAATTTTAATAAAAATACAACAAATCAAGGAAGCGTTTACAACTCATGTCGGTGTCGGGATGTTGTTGATAATATTATCGAGGCGCACGTCGGTTTCATTATGGTCGTTGCGGTTGTTCAGGAGTTTGTTCATCATAACCAACCTGCTCATTTACCAAGGGCATATGATCCGGTGTTGTAAATACATGCCCACCACCACTTTGCTCTCCCACCTGAGGACAAATACTCGTATTTGACATCATATATGCCATCTGATCAAAATCATATGTTGCTCTAAACATGAGAGAGAACATGGGTAATTGATGAGGAATAAGCTGAGGAATGTAAGTCGTAACACCAGAATCACCATACACTTGATGAAATAATCTTGTATCGCCAAAATATTCCGATTAAATATTATCCATTGCCGTTTGTTCTGCTTCATGGTGAGATGAATTCCCACTCCCACTCCATCTTGGTTTTTTAACTTTACAAAATTTTTTCTTATATTGTACAAATTGTCGTATTTCTATGTTCGTTGTCAAGAACAATTTTTCATGTTCCCAATAATAATTCAGGTAATCCGAATTCTGGAAGTCAAAGTCATCCACTTGAATGGGAGTGAGAGTTGGCAAGTATGAAGCCCTATTGTTCCAAAGATTGATACAGTTGGCATGCCTCACAGCCCAATCCTGACCGTGCCTACCCCTCCTATCTAATATGTGGAGAGCGTTATAATTCTCTGAAATCCACAGAATAGGTTAGTGGAAGCTGAACTGCCTCAACACTCTATCGGAAAATTGGAACTCAACAAAAATGAAATGGATCAATGGAGTAACAACACACCAATATTGACAACCCTCTTAGACATGCTGTGGCACACACGATATAATTTCTCCATTATCATACGACCTCCATATAAACTATAAAAGAAAATTATATAATTCTTAATTAATTAAATAATATTAAAATTCAACTAAATAAATAAACAATATAAGAAAATAAATAAATTAATTATATACCTCAACTTTGCATTTAATGTCCATCTTAAATCTAAATTCTTTCACATTATTATGCATCAACCACGCTCCTTCTATTTTATGCCTCCATATGTATACCAATGAAAATAAAATTATGTAATTATTTTTCCTATAAAAATCATTAATTAATTTAAGATCAAATATTTTAAATCAAAATATTACCCTTTGGCAAGAGAAAAATCAACTACAGTTCAGTTAATCGGTGTTAACCATGGAAGTCTGTGTCAGCCCACAATTGTAATAATATCAGACATCCACCGATTTCCATCATACATGCATTATTTAAAAGTAATGACGCCTTGCACATCTCGCGATACAAAAACACCAATATTGCTAATCTCCAACTATACTGACGGGTATTAAAAAAGTTACCCAAAAAAAGGAAGATATTGCACATGAACAAGATTATCGGATTTATCCGACATCAAGACTCCCCTGATCAACTATAATAGATATGCTTGATTTGCATATACAATGTTTTGCTCAATACTATAACGATCGAGCTTAAACTCATTTGTCAACCATGATAACCTCAAACGTAACCCTTTCGTAACTGTTTTTTCTAGCACCTTCCCAAGGTATGCCCTACACATTTCAAACACGTCCTAAGTCATTTTTCCCACCACTGTCATTCCATTTGTAAGGACCCCTAGTTGTAAATCAACATCCTCCAAAGTGATCGTACATTCACCACACCGTTCAATTAATGGACTGATCAAACCGGGGACCAACTTATATTCTCTTACAAATGTTACATCGTAAAAGCCCACCATTTGCAAATTCTGGACAATAAGATCATGTGACTTATCACAAATGTTCACTCGACTTCGAATGACTCGTTCTCTATCATGCAATTTATTAATCAATGGAATTAAAATTAATTCATCGTTCTCAAATAAAATATATTATTCAATAATAATACCATTGCTCCCAAATGACTAGAAATATGTAGATCATCTAGTCTCAAAAGAACATTTTATTTTGTCATGCTTCAACAAATCTATAAAATAATTAAATATTTCAATTTATAATATTAATCATAATTAAAGAAAATTTAAACAAAAATCTCTTATATCAAAAATAAATAGTCTAATTTATTTATATTTACAATAAAAACAAAAAACAAAACAATAAAATTTAAATTAAACTTATCAAACTACTCAAATATGATTTAATATGTAAAATAAAATTAGTCTAATAAATTATATTACTCAATAAACAAATAAACATATAATTTAAACTAAACTTACCAAACTACTCAAATACAACTTAATATGTAAAATCAAAATAAATTGTCTAATAATTATAATTTAAATTGAAAAAAACTATACTAAAAATAATACAAAAATTAAAATTATCAAACCACTCGAATACAATTTAATTTGTAAAATCAAAATAAATAGTCTAATTAATTTATATTTACAATAAAAACAAAAACAAAACAATAAAATTTAAACTAAACTTATCAAACCACTCAAATACGATTTAATCTGTAAAATAAAAATAATTAGTCCAATAATTTATATTGCTCAGCAAAAAAATAAAAATATAATTTAAACTAAACTTACCAAGTTTTACTCTAATACAACTTAATATGTAAAATCAAAATAAATACTATAATAATTATAATTTAAACTAAATTAAAAATAAAAATTACACAAAAAATTTAATTTAAACTTACCAAACCAGTCGAATACAGTTTAATATGTAAATCAAAATAATTAATCTATTTAATTTATATTTCAAATAAAAATTAAAAATGAAACAATAAAATTCACACTAAATTTATCAAATCGCTTACCAGACCACTGAAATACGAATTCTTTCTTCTTTCGATCGAACTTTTTTCTTCCCTTTTGAATTTCTCTCCTGCAAATGTTCTTTTTCTCTCAGCCTCACTCTCCTCCCCTTAGATTTCACCCAAAATCCAACTCCTCCTATTTTATAACATATCTTGGTGCTCCATTATTGGTCTAATAATGACACCATTATTAGTCACGTTCCCCACGCCATGCATGCAGTTTTGTTTCTTCCCACGCCATGCAACAAATTTGGTTCAGAGTCAGGGCTGCAGTCGAAATAAAGCTGAAGACGTCGCGTATTCCCGAGGGCTTATGCATGGACTGAAGACGTCGTGCACTCCACGCGTCTCTCCCCGACCTGAAGACGCCGTGCAGTCTTGGAGTCTTTAAGTTTGGACTAAAGACGCCAAGCAGACATGGAGTCTTTGTGTTGTTACTGTAGATTTCACCCTAGATGGGAAAATAATTCTGAATGTGGCCTATATTGAGAATTTCCCCCTACAACATTATATCAGCCATTTTCTCGTTTTAAATACTCTTAGCCATTTGATAATGAACATTCAATTACCTCTGCTGTAGTAGTTGATGCTCGAATCCGACACCTCTAGAAATAAGAATCATTCTTTTAATCATTGAGGTAATTTAGTTTATGAATATTTTTTTATTATTTTATTAAAATCTGATCATAATCGTCAAAATGAGAGTTAAGACACTTGTTTAAAACTGAATATAAAATCTAACACTAATTAAGATAAAATAATCTCTTTTGTTATTACACTATAAATTGAAAAACTATTAATATATCAAATGAAAAATGGATGTGGGAAGATAAAATACAAAAAGATGAGCACTAAAATTGCTATCACCGTGCTTTTTGTTTTAGCCACGGAAGAAGATACTAGAATTTAAGGTAGCTTTTGGGGGGATATTTAGATTAATTATTTTAGGGGGCGTTTGGATCATGGAAATCTTGTTTACTGGTAGGAATTTTCTTTTCCTGGGCTGTTATACCCACGTTTGGATGGGAAAGATTTCCACTTGAGGGTATTATCTCATTGCCAACAGTAATTTTTTTTGACCTTTTTACTGGGAATGTCATTCCCACATATTACATAGGTTTTTATTTATTCCCGGGCATTTGGGCTAAAATACCCTTTCTTCTCATCTTCTCCCCGTGACCTCGCTTATGTCCAATTTCCTTTGCTGAGAATTTTTCCTGGTAAGATTTCTCCTCCACTCATTTTCTTTAAATTTCCCAGTAATGTTACTTTGCTTTTGATTTTGATTCTTTTCCTTTGCTTTTAATTTTTCCTTTGCTTTTGATTCTTTTCCCGGTAGTCTAGTTTCAACAACTTCTCCTGAATTCGACCTCCATGTTTTTGATTTGAGCTTACTGTCGTCTGCTGCTATGTTTAGATATTTTGGTATACCTGGGTAGCCTGGAGTAGTTTTTATGCTCTGGGTTTTTTGCTTTGGTCCTTTTACGAGTATGTTGGTAGATTGGCCAATGAGGGAGCTGGTTTATTCTGGTCGTTCTGCTTGCTTTCGATGCTTTTTCATTAGTCTGCTGTGCTCTTCAGTTTTTCGAGCTTTTGTCATCCTTTTCGATTAGCTTCAATTAGAGAGTATCTCTTGTCTCAGTTCGTGTCTTTGCTTAAGCTTTGGTTGTTGCTGATATTAAGCTAGAGGTGTTGGTTTGATTTCTTATTCTTGTTGTTGTTGTTTGTGTTTGAACCACTTTCAGTTTCTATTTCTTTAATGGCGTGTCCGGATTTGGTTTATTATTGTGTTGCCGGGGGAGTGTTAGGATCGGTGGTGTGGTTATGTATGGTATGTTGTGATGTAAGTTTTTGTGTTTGTTCATCTCTACCACCACAGAAATTTAGTTTATATGCTTCAATGTAATTAATTAACAGAAATAGGTTATTTTTCTGAACTTCTACGATAGAATATGATGGAATCTGAAGGTAGAACCTGCCCTTTTCTAATTTAAATTTGAGGTTGCAAGTTCTTACATATGTTTAGGATGCTAAAGTATTGTTAGCAAACGATTTTGTTGATCTGTCAAGAAGTACTGACAGACTCTAGACTACATATCCACAAATTCGCTTTGTACATGGATAAGTAAGAAGAACCTTAGGAAATCCAGCGGCTCATTTTACAACGTATAATTCTTTATATAATTCTAAAACATACTTTTAGACACTACATCGTATAGTGTTGTGCAAATCTGGATTTCTATGTTTTCTTGTCTCCAGTCTAACCATTGGATTAGATTGCAAGCATTTACTCATAGGCTCTAGATTTTGGCATCCTTAAAAATACACTGCTCATGTACTTCTGTAAGTACGAAGTTAATTTATGTAAAATGAACACGTGATTTGATTAAGATGATATACTAACCTTTGAAGCAAAGATACATATATGGAGAACTAAACTAATTGGTGTGGAAACCATTACTGGTGCTTTTAGCCATGATTAAACAAACTCTTAAAATACATCTTACCACTAACCCAAAATTTCAAAAGGAAAATATTGAGAAGGAATTCTGAAGCCATCCCATCACTACCTCACTTGTTTTATTTATTTTTAAATTGTGATAGGCTCTAAATATAATTTAAATTGACGTATCAAAAAGCTTGTAGTTTAGGATGCTAAAGTATTGTTAGCAAACGATTTTGTTGATCTGTCAAGAAGTACTGGCAGACTCTAGACTACATATCCACAAATTCGCTTTGTACATGGATAAGTAAGAAGAATCTTAGGAAATCCAGTGGCTCATTTTGCAACGTATAATTCTTTATATAATTCTAAAACCTACTTTTAGACACTACATCGTATAGTGTTGTGCAAATCTGGATTTCTATGTTTTCTTGTCTCTAGTCTAACCATTGGATTAGATTGCAAGCATTTACTCATAGGCTCTAGATTTTGGCATCCTTTAATTCAAATAGGGTTGTTCAAATATGGATTTCTATGTTTTCTTGTCTCTAGTCTTAAATGTTCAAATATACTTTTGCCTAAAAATTATCTAGATTTTGCCCGAAAATGGTTAATAGGGTTGTTTTTAAGGGTGAAACAGGTTGAGGTTTAAAAGCAAACAAAGAAATGTGTGGCTACCTACTTGTTTTACAGTAACTTGCTGAATTGTATTGACATAGTTGCTCTTCTATCATCATTTTATTATAGTGCCGTTTTTATTATGTTCAATTATTTTTATTGTGATGACAAACAATTGTTCTTGTAAAATATTATTATTTTCTAATATTAAAATGTTTGTTCATAATAACAGTTATGGCTCGTTTACCAATGCGAAAGAAGACGCATATCGCCATAATTCTTATTTTACAACTGCAAATGATGGAGATTGTGTGTCATATGCTTATGATTATTTCAGTTATTCTTAGAAAATATAAAAATCGACCTAAAATAACTTATGCACATGAAAGACTTCATAGACATAATATTAGATCACTTAATTTACATAAAATTGTATTTGAAAGTGATCGACAAAGTGTTAATAATTGTCGAATGGATAGGAGAGCATTTATTAAATTGTGTCACCTATTACAAAGTCAAGGTGGGTTAAAAGAGAGTCGATATATGTCTATAGAAGATATGGTTATTATTTTCCTTCATATTATATCCCACCATATTAAGATTAGAGTTTTAAAACGTCAAACAGTAAGATCTAGTGAAATAATTAGTAGAGTTCTCCATACAGTGTTAGCTTTAGTCTTGAAACTGCATCCGATCCTTTTTAGAAAACCATAACCGATACAAGATAATTCAACAGATGATAGATGGAAATGGTTTAAGGTATTGTATCATAATTCTGAACTTTCTTTTAAGTTAATTAGTAATGCTTAATACATAAATGGATAGTAATAATGAAATTTAACTTTATTTGATGAATATAGGGATATTTGGGTGCTCTAGATGGAACGTATATTAAGGTCAATGTAGTTGCAATCGATAAACCTAGATACAAAACAAGAAAAAATGAAATTGCGACAAATGTACTTAGTGTTTGCACACCAAACATGCAATTCGTTTATGTTTTACCTGGGTGGGAAGGTTCTGCAGCTGATGATAGAATACTCAGAGATGCCATTAGTAGAAGAAATGATTTAAATGTTCCACAAGGTAAATTATTAGGTCATTAATATATATATATATATATATATAAAAGAATGTAAAATTCTTACAAGTTTTGTATATTAATTTATTTTTTAAATTAAAATAATATAGGGTGTTACTACTTATGTGATGTTGGATACACGAATGGAGAGGGATTTCTTGCACCATATAGAGGTCAAAGATACCACTTGAATGATTGGAGAGAAGGACACCAACCTACCACCCCTCAAGAGTATTTCAACATGAAACATTCTCAAGATAGGAATTGCATTGAGAGATGCTTTGGCATATTGAAAGCGAGATGGGCGATTTTAAGGGAAAAATCATTTTATCTAGTGAAAACACAATGTAGACTCATTTCAGCTTGTTGTCTTCTCCATAATTTCATAAGATCTGAGATACCAATCGATCCTATTGAATCTTACTATACTGAAGATAGTAAGCATGTTGAAGAGATTAATGAAGTAGAAATGATCAGACATTGTAAGCCAAGCAGTGCTTGGACTGAGTGGAGAGACAAATTATCAGAAGATATGTTTACTAGTTGGTTGGCGTCACGTACTTTAGGATAGATGTTATTTTATGTTATGTATGACTTCCACCTTCTATTTTATCTAATGTTAGTGGTCATTACTTTCATGTATTTGACATCTTTATATTTTATGGCATAAACTTTATTAAATTTTATGTATTTCTCTTCTATAAAATTCAAATTTTATTTGTTATGGACATTCATTACTTATGTCATTCACTACATTTTATTTATATTATGTTACTATTTTAAATTTCTTTTATGATTAGTATTAACAATGATGACATGTTTTATGTTATGTTATACATTTTTTATTTACATCTTCTTAGATTGTTTCGAAGAGAAATATGTCAACATCAAATATGGAATCTCAAAGGGGGAAAAACCACCGACATCTAGAAAGGTTAAGTCTTTAGTAACTAAAAGGACATGGACTAAAGAGGAGGATGCTGCACTTGTTGAATGTTTACACATTTTGGCTGAAGACCCACATTGGAAAGCTGATAATGGAACATTTAGATCAGGTTATATATCTAATCTTGAAAAGATGTTAGAAATCAAGCTTCCAACATCACAAATTAGGGCCCATCCACATATTGAATCTAGAATGAAGCTATTCGAAAGAAAATACAATGTTTTATCTGAAATGCTGAATATTGGAAATGGATTCGGTTTGAATGAAGAAGAAAAATGTTTAACTGCACCGAAGGATGTGTTTGATGATTGGGTTAGAGTTAGTATTTTAATTGAATTTATCTTCTTTTTATACTCTTTGTTATCTACGTAGCTTTGTAAGATTTATTAAATTTGCGATTTTATTATATTGTAGAGTCATCCAACTGCTGCTGGATTGAGAAACAAGTCATTTCTATTCTTTGATGGCTTTGTTCATATATTTGGAAAAGAAAGAGCTACAGGAATAGCAGCGGAGACATCAGCTGATGCAGCGGAACATATTGATGTTGAAGACAATGCATTTATAGATGCATTACTTGAAGAAGAGGGAGTAAGAGATTCTGAATCAAGAGAGGATGTTGGTGCTTCAACTTGCCAAACATCTGATGCTACTGCCTCTACCCCTACAATGAAAAAAGTAACTAGCAAGAAAAGGTCTCGAAGTGATGATGGGTTAACCGAGCTTGTACGGGAGATAAGTAAGTTCGGTGCTGCATACCGAGAAACTGCCAAAGAAATTAAGGATATTAATTCTTTATTGAAAAAGGAGGCAGAAGGAAATGATCGAAGAATGTCGATTTTCACTGAAATTATGAAAATTAAAGGACTGTCCACTGATGAAATGCTTACTGCATGAGAGTATATGAGCAAAGATGCACACAAGGTAGATTTCTTCTTTTCTTTGCCAAAAGAATTCAAGCAAGATTATGTGATTAAGCAATTGGTTGAATGCCGTTAATTTAGACCATCATTTTGATTGTCGTCCTTCTACAATTATGTCGATCTCTTTTTGATTATGACTTTAGAATATGGTCCCAACTTTTTTGTGTAGCTTAGCCAAGTATATGTCAATCTTTTGACTTGAAGAATTTTGTGTGTATATAATAATATAGCTAACATATATGATTACGTTTAGAATGTCATGACTATTATCTTTTGTAAGTCTGAACATTGTACAATCTTTTGATGGTTAATGTTATACTTCTTTTTGTTATGTAGTATATGAGTTGCAAGTAATGTGCTAGTTTTCGAATATGTTAATTACTTTTAATAGTTCTTGTGTGTCGCAACTTATCGGTAGTGAATATTGGAAGTCTTTGATAGATGGTGTTACATAGACAAGTAGAGCAGCGTACTGGTGTTGACCTTGCAAAAAGACAATTCAGAATCCTCATAAAAATATCAACATACCTGTTCCTCTTCGTTCTTTTCTTCATCCATATTATCAGGTTCAACATTGGACTCTTTTTTTAATATCAGAATCCATTTTTTCATCTCCCCCTTTAGCAGAATTGGTATCAAAACCGGGAGTTTTCAAATCTGCAGGAAGCTGACCTGTCTTTAATGCCTGCTCAACCAAAGAAATATCCAAAATGTAAAGTAAAACTAAGAAAGAAATCTAAATAACAGTTATCTTGAAAAGCCACTCATACAATTAAGCAGCCACCTTTTCAAGTCTTGCAACTTCTTCTAAAGTCTGAGAATTCACAATGGCAGCCTGCATATCAAATAAATCTAAACAAGATCAGAATTTAGTCACAAGGATGCACTACAAAAGATGTAGAAGTCATTTACAAATATGACATAAATTATCAGTAGCCATTTATGCAGTTTAAATCACAAATAAAACAAAAAATGCAAGTTTTAGATGAATTAAAAAGTAGTGCCCAAGGAAAATAATTTTGCAAATTGACAAATATTGTTTTTACATTTTAAACCCGAGTGCCAAAATTAACTAATGTCAGAGGGTTACTCAACCATTCCAAAAAGTACCCCTCATTCAGAATCATTCTTACTGGACATGTATGTTACCTTCCTATTAATGTTGCTGGTTAGATGGGTTTGCGAGGGAGGGTGGGTTCCACTAGCCACATTCCTAAAATATATGTAAAATATTTAAGCTCACAAAGACCATCAGAGAGGTGTGTCTACTTCAAGTGCTTCTCTTTGATAGATGGTGTTACATAGACAAGTAGAGCAGCGTACTGGATCAACCACTGAAATTGTCTATAAAAATCAGCATATCTATCAGTTCCTACGCCTTACGTGTTCATGAGGAGATTTCTGAAAGCTGCTCAATCAAACAAGAAGCTTGAGCTTCTGTCATACTTCATGATTGAGCTTTGCCTGGTCGAATACGAAATGCTTAAGTTCCCACCATCTTTGTTACCTGCTGTAGCTATCTTCACTGCCCAATGCAGGCTTAGTGGGTGTAAGCATTAGAGCAAGACCATGGAATGCTGGAGAATGATGATCGGGTTCCATCAGAAAGCGGTAAATAAAAACTGATAATCATAATTCCCACTTTCATGTATATTTTTTAACAGTAAATTATATATTTAGTTATTTAACTAAAACTAAAAATAAACAAAACAAAACAAAAGTAATTCCCTTCTTTTAGGAAATTAATTAAATTTATTTTAACAAACCAAGAATCAAGTGAACAAAAACTCAAATGAAGGGATTAAGATTATGAACTTTCATTACACTGTATTTGTCATCTTGTTCAACCGAATAAATTCATGTCAACACTTTTATGAATTACACAGTCATCCAAGAAGATTTTAATTAATTAGCTAGCTACATTTTGTAATGTGGTTCTCGTTATAATAAAATAAAAACTGATAATCATAATTCCTCAAAATAAAGATACAAAATTTGAATTTTAATTTACATTTGTATTCTTACTCAAGTATTATCTCATTTGTTACATAACAAAAACTCATTTTAATATATTTTTACATAAATTATGTAAAATTTAATATTAATTAAAATTAAAATAATACATGATATATTTAAATACTCAAGTAATATATTATCAAAAAATAGAATTTTTATATAAATATTTAGAATTTCACTTGTTAAAAAAATAAATATAGAAAATGACAATTTGGTAAAATATACATTCCATTAATCTTTTATTCTTTCAACTAAACACTGTAATTTTACATTCCTGCAAAACTAACCAAACACAGTAATGTAACATTCCCAGTAATCATATTCCCTGGTAATCTTTTATTCCTACTGGTAATCTTTTATTTTCACTAGTAATCTTACATTCCGTGAACCAAACGCACCCGTGTTTAGTGCTCTTTGCAATGCCCTATAAATAGAGGACCCTGGCCTTCATCTTGTACACAATTCAAGAGCCAGGCTTGTTAAAGTTTTCCCGTACCGTGTGAGAGTGGTTGCATTCGGTTCCTTGTATTCTGATTTTGCTCACTAGCTTTAGAATAATGGGGAGCACTAGGGTTATTGGTGCTGCATTTTTGGTTTTGGTTCTAGTGGACTTGGCCTTTGCTGCCAGGCCGTTTAAGGGCGAAGGAGCAAATGGTTTGGGGTTTGGATATGGTTCCGGAAGGGGATCCGGGTTAGGTTCTGGTAGAGGGGGTGGAGGTGGCGGCGGTGGAGGAGGAGGTGGAGGTGGCTCTGGATCAGGAAGTGGGTCTGGGTCTGGATATGGGTCCGGATACGGGTCTGGAAGCGGTGGTGGAGGTGGTGGAAGCGGTGGAGGAGGTGGTGGAGGTGGAGGCAATGGAAGCGGATATGGCTCAGGCTATGGATCTGGATCTGGATACGGAAGCGGAGGTGGTAGAGGCGGTGGGGGTGGTGGTGGAGGAGGAGGTGGGGGCGGCGGCGGCGGCGGCGGCAGAAATGGTTATGGACAGGGTTCAGGCTACGGCAGTGGGTCTGGCTATGGTTCAGGGTACGCCGGCGGAGAAGATGATTACTCGCCATAAACTGATTGAAATATGAATATTGGATTTACGTAGAAGTAAGGATATTACAGTTGATTATTGTGATTTATAATTTGAAAAATAAAATAGAAATGTACTCGTAGTTTTTGCATGGAGGGTTGCGTATTATAGTGTAAGACATTCGACGCCTTCTGTAAGGCACATTATAGACCATGCTGCATTGTGATATAACAACAATAAAGGACACTTGTTAATTCTCCTCCTCCTCTTCTTCTAAACATCAAAGTACCACGTAATTCATAATATAAATCAAACTTAAGTGCAAGAGGTCAATTTGATCAGTGTTGAGCAACAGAGGCTGTTTAATAACTCTTGGTTCAACTGATCATCCAAGGCTACTTCTAGGTTTATTTCTGGGTAATTATCCTAATCTGTTGGAAAAGAGAGCTCCACTCTAAATATTCTGATGCACCATCGAAAACTGCCGGGCTCTCTGATGCGCCTGAAATCCAGTCCACGGCGACTTTACTGTCGCTTTCCACGATCAAACGATGATTCTTGCTAACCGTAGAAGCAAAAAAAGGCAGAAAGACCACGTTTAATCGCCTTTAATTCGGCTACAATGGGAGGGCCCGACCCACTTGGTTCGGAAAAGAACAATATGCGATTACTTTTAGAGTCTCGCAGGATCCCACCAATACCCCCTCTGCTTCCATCACCAGTCGCAGCCCCGTCTACATTTAATTTCAGGGAATCGGGGAGGCTGAACCCACTCCACTAGGGTCTGGTTATCTATTCCAGCAGGATTAGCTTTATTCGCTAACGACGGATCATCATACATCGAGACCAACACCTCTGGGAGCTTGGCTTCGAACCAAGCCGCTAATCGAAGGATCCAAGTTGCAACCATTAAAAACCACCTCATTTCTGATTTTCCAAGCTGACCACAAGACCACATATGGGATGAAGCCCACTCGAGGGGAGCTCACTGAGTCGTGCCATGCAGATAGAAAAGAGGAGATCTCTCCTGGAAATGCAATCGAAACGCCGCAAAATTGAAGGAACCTAGTCCAAACTCCCCAAACTATTTTACAAGCCACAAACAACTGGTGAATTGTTTCATCCTCCGAACGGCATAGTGGACATAATGAGTCCAGCACTGTAGTGATAACCCTTTTCGATAACTCACTTTTAACGGAAATTCGATAGTGACAAATCTGCCAAATAAAGAGTTTCACTCTAGCAGGAACCAGACCCAACCAAACATATGAATTCCAGAGGGAATTATGAGTAAAAGATTTGTAAAATACCTTATTGAAGGATCTGGCCGAATAAACACCATTGTCACTGCCTGCCCAAGATATCCACTCATTGTCGAGACCACAGGACCTGAAATTATTTAGTAATGCCAACAAAGAATCCCATTGAAGCACTTCCCAGTCAAAAAGTCCTCTACGTAGATTAATAACCCACGTCCTTTCCGAATTAACTCTAGAACCGAATTCAGCAATCCTTTCATTCTTGTTGCAGGAAAGGGCAAATATTATTGGAAAAAGCTCCCTGAGTGGACTGTCGCACAACCACGAATCTGTCCACAAAAGGAGGGGGTTCCCCATTGCCCACTTGTGTTTTGAAACGCTTCCGAAGGCAAAACCCAATGTAGTCATCTTTTGAATAAGAATTCATAATGTACCTACAGAGCCACGATGCCTCATACAGATTAGAATAGGTAGACAACATTAGAGTGCTATCCAAATTGTATTTTGCCGTGCCTATTTGCTTCCACAGGCCTTCCCTTTCGTTGGCGAACTTCCAAAACCATTTACCAAGCAAGGCACGATTGTGCAACTCTAAATTTATAATTCCCAAACCACCTTACACCCGCGGGGGACGTAAAGATAACCATTTGATTCGATGAATGTGTTTTTTGTCCGAAGAATTGCCCCGCAAAAAATTAGCCATTTTTGAATCCAGTAATGGCTAATCCATAAGGCCAATGAAATGAATTTCTCTTTGGACCCGAAGGTAATCCAAGGTAATTGGATGGGAACTTCCCAACTTTGCACCCAATGACCGAAGCCCATTCAGTTAGTACAGGTTCTTCTACGTTGATGTCAAAAAGGCTGCATTTTGTTTTTATTCAGTTGTAACCCCGAAGCAATTTCGAAAATACGAAGCACCCTCTTAACATTCTTTATCTCGCCCAAAGAATCACCGCTGAAGATAATCAAATCGTCTGCAAATTGTAAATGGGACAGCAGAAAAGGATCTTTCACCCTACCAATCGTGAATCCTCTGAAAAGCCTCAAGTCAACAGCTTTCCGAATCATTAAATTTAGCGCTTCACCAACCTTGTTAAACAACATCTGGGATAAAGAGCAGCCTTGTTTGAGTCCTCTCGCCATCGGAAAACTCTATGTAGGTGCGCCATTCACTAAGACCGAAACTGAGGCCGTCGAGATGCACATGGAAATCCACTCACATCAACTAGATTCGAAACCCATTTTTTCCCATTATCCTCGCTAGAAAGCCCTCCTGAAATCTATCCTGAAGCCTACTCCTTCCCCCCTTATACATAAAATCAATCCCTTCATTTGTTATGGAGGAGCAATCAAGAATTTGTCTTCTAGGCAAAAACTGTGAAAGACCAATCACTGATTCTATGCAGGTTCCAAGTCTCCTCGATGGTACCTTGGACAGGATTTAATTCTTATAATTGCTTTAAAATTTAAATCTACTTACTATTCATTCTAGTAGTTAGGACTGGATCAGACCGATAGATTGAATTGAAAATAACTAATCTAATCAAGTTAGATAAACTAATTTGCAGATCGTGGAAAGAATAAATCAAAAATCTATATCAATCGATTTTATCACCGGTCCAATTTTTAAAACATTCTTATTTACATTAAATTCACCCAGTGAATCAAATTTTTTATTATTATTTTTTTACAAAATTTTGCATTCTCTAAAGGAACATCCAATCAATATAGGTTCAGTAAAGCGAATTGAATCCAAATAAGCTGAATGCATAATTAATATAGATTTAGATCATAATGAGTATTCCACCTTTAATATATAGAAATGCTGCATAAATTGAATATTTTTTTTATGAGTTATAGGCCTCATTAAAAATCCCTTCATGATTAATAGAGTTTGTAGAGAAACTTCTTAATCAGCGGAAGGAGGAAAAGAATGCCTTAAAATTTCATTAATAACAAGATAAGATACATAACAATTACAACACCCAGAAGGTTCCCTTGCATAAATTGAATATAGAAATGGGTATCAACTGAAATTTATAATTCAGCTATTCAATAAAAGTAAAAAATTGCTAGCTGTTGCAATTGATAGCCAATTCTAACATATTTTTTCTTTTTCTGTTTTTATTTCTTCAATCAAGAAAATTAGTTTGTATGTTTCCAAAAATATCTAAATAAGAGCTCTTTTCGATAAAAATATTCCCCTTCCTGCTCTTATAGCTTTGTCAACAACTCATTGCATGCCAATGAATGCAAATATGTTTCAGTCAAACTATGTGAGGAAGTAGGAAAACTCGAAAATAATGGTTTCGAATCTTTTGATAACCGGAAGACTAATCCATCACACTCTCAGTGGCGTTTGCCACCTTCTGCATTATCATCAACTCAGCTTGATGAATTGCTCTTTGTGATCCCATGATTGTGACTTTCCTGTTGCACGAGGTAAAGGGGAAAACATTACTTAGGAACTCGATGCTTAATGGCAGATTGATAAAATCGGGATTGTCGCACCTGTCGGTTGTTCCGGACATGAAATCGCCTCTATCTGATATTTTTATCCTGGAGCCGCTTACCTGCAATGACAAAGTGCTCAAATTCGTAACATAAGCAAAAATACTATGGAACCAAATGAGTATATATTTCTCATGTATAAACCTGACTAATTTCCATGATATTCCTTCCACCACGACCTAGAACCAGTCCAATATGCTCATCGGAAACACCAATTGTGATGGAGTTGCTATGATCCTCCTGGATAGACATGTAAACGAATTCTGTCAAGCAAAGATCGATTAACGACAATGTACACATATAGCATGAGTTGTTGATTTCAGAATATCAGTCACATCACTTGCAAAATAAATGATAAGGGTTTAGGGAGGCATTAAAAATTGAAATGACACTAGAAATACAACTATATTGCTCCTATTCTTCATTTAGCTTAAAGTACCCATGTCTGACATATTCGGAAATAAATAAGGTATGGGGATATGACACCCCCTAAGGACCCTACAAAAAACATGGAAAATAATAAAAAAAATTAAACAATCCAGTGTTAGACACGTACACGTATCCAACACTCATACCAAAGTCCGAGTAACATATACTACAATACAACAGTTCTAGAAGTATGATAAAATTTGGAAGAAAATGAGTTAACGAATTAACTATTGTATTGAGTCTGCAAAAGAAACAAATGGAAGGAGCATGTTATCATCCTCCGTGAAAATGCTTAGTTTGTGATGGATGAACTTTGTACAATTTTCTGTAGTTTTTTGAATAAAAATGAGGTACTCTTTTCCCTCTTCCGCTACCTATTGGCTACCTCGCAGTTTGCCGAGAAGTATGAAGGGGTTTTTTTTAACGAGACCTCCAATTCTTATAAAAAAAACAGTTCTAGAAGTATAATAAAATTTGGCAGAAATGGGTTTACGAATTAACTATTGTATGAGTGTGCAAAAAAACAAATGGAAGGAGCATGTTATCATCCTCCGTGAAAATGCCAAAACAAAAAATAACAAATTAATATACTTAGCCTAGCACAGAACAGAACGAAGTAAAACAGCATCAGTCACCAGGCAGAACAGAGAAAGCACACAGAAAGAGATGAACCTTGTGATTCGGAAACTTCACTCCAGCCCCATTTGGTGCATAGCTCATTGAATTGTAAGTCGCTGTTGCAACAGAAGGAAACACGTATACATATGGTATACAATGAAAACCAGAGAAGAAAATAGCAAAAATTTTAAGTTAAAAAAAAAACCAGGACAAAATTAAAGA